TTCGTCAACTTTATAAATACGCAGGGCAAACTCTCCCGACGACGGCAGGTTTATGATGAAGTCAATTTCACTTTTCCGCACCATCATCTTACAATATTGTTGCAAGTCTTCGCTTTCACTTCCTGTGCTTTCTATTTCATGACTAAAACATACCCGATTTAATTCTTTACATCATGAGAATCGTAGAAACAACACAAGTTTAAACTATGGTACAAGAAATCTTAACACTATGATTAACAGGTTATGTTTCAGAAAGAATACACGTTTACAAAATGAAACGTGTTAAATTTCATAAAAGCCTGATGAGGAACATTAAACTTTGTTAAACAAAGTTGCGGTTGTTTGTATTGTAGAAACCAGATAGATTAACATTTATGTAACGCTCATACATGACCTGTTCATTTGGACCCCCCCCCCCCACACCACACACACACAAAACCCACCCCACCCAAAAAACAACAATACAAACAAAAAGCCCAACAACATAAAAGGTTGATTAAGTACATAAAGGCTATATTTTAACCTGCTTATATGTGTACAAGTTTTGGCCCTACTCATAGTTCATATTTCATTAAAGAAAATAGTTCTTTAAACATATAAACACCTTCATTGTCTCAACAAAATGTTTTACTAAATACATTAATTGAAAATTGTAGTTCCATACCTTAATAATACCTTCTCGTTTGTCAGAAATTTAATGATATGTTCTTCGTTTGGTTTATAGAATACAATACCGCCGTCATGTGATGGAGACAATAGACCCGCCTCCTCACTTCCGGTTGATGGACCGTACCCAATTTCTTTAGGCACCGCTGGTGTTGCGACATAGTCCACGAGAGATTCTCCGCAGACAATTTTAAAATCGCCTGTAAAATAAAAATTTCATGGTTTCATCAGATTAAATGGCTGAAATTTGAGATAATGTTTTAATAACGGTGTGTCCATTTCCATGACATGTGATAAAATATTAAAGGCACATCATGCCCCAGAATCTTGTACTAATCTTTTGCATCTTTGGAAAGAGCAAACTTGAGTTCTATGAAGTTTATATTGCAGTTTTGGAGCATGTTAGATACTGGTTACCTTAAGAAAGTAGTGCTTAATTTGAAATGATAATATCATAATCATAAAAGTTGCAAAATGTAAACAATATGGTATTTTGTGACTTCAATACAAAATACTGTTTCACTATATTTGTACTAATTGCTAGTATGCAAAAGGAGAAAAAAATGTGCCAGGTAACTGGCCAATTAATGAGTAAGTTTTTGGAAACTTTATAAGTGTACCTAAAAATAAAAAGCTTTTGAAAAAAAAAAAATAATAAAGCAATATGGGGGGTGGGTGTATAATGGGCCTTTGATATGGCCTTTGATATAAAGTGTCGACGACAAAGCTAATATTTAGTTATTTAAAGGGGATCAGTTTGCCTAAACAAGAACGACAGTTCTACATTTCTGAAGTTGTACATTAAAAAAATCATTAGAATTAATAACCAGTCTGTCTTACCTATCCAAAAGAACCAGTCTTCTAATTTAGCAAACAGTGCTACTTTAAAGGTCCCAGCAACCGGGAACTTTATCTGTATATTCCAAGTGTCCTCATTACGGCCGCACACCACTAAATCTCCCCATTCTTCTTTCTTCTCAAAATCAGGATCATTTGAGTACAGCTCATACATTAACTCTAAATCATTCACGTTTTCTTGTTGACACTGCATCTTTATATTACACCTCCCACCTTCTGACAACAAAACTGACTTGTGTTCACTAACAAGTTGCATTTTAGAAGAGAAGAAAGCCGGACGAAGAAAGGGTGACTTTAGGAAGGCTTTGTAATGAGTTTTCGTCTCAGTTAATTGCCAATTACTCATTGAATCATCGGGAAGACAAAAATATAAAAAGTCTGAAGGCTTCGGAGCGAAAAAGAATGTATTTAACACGACACCGGGTTTTTGTTCCTGCTGTACGACAGAGGTCTCTATTTGTGTCCAGTTATCTTTACACGTCTGTGTGGAAAGTGGGGTACACATTAGATATGGATGCACGAGTTGCCAACTTCCGTCCACGTGTACGGCGTTCCATGTGCATTTAGAATTGCTGACGTCATCTTCTCCAACTTGATGGCAGTGTGACTTGTATATTCCTTTTATGATTACACAAGGTATGTCTATGGCCCTGTGATATAAACGAATTATGACACAAAATGAATTGACCATGAAAGTCTAAACTATTGTTTACATATTTTAACTAAATTTTAGAAAATACATGTATGTTATTGTGTTTACATAGGGTTTTGTACATAACTACTCATTAAATGGAGTAAAAAAAAAAAAAAAAATGAAAAAAAAAAACAAAAAAAAAACGTAATGATTTGTACAGTCGAGTAAAACACTGTCAAAAACTTTGCCTGTTTTGTATAGATCAGTTTACTAGTATATGATTTTTCATCTTGATTAAAACATGACTATATGTGGTTTGAATTGCCATTATGTAAATTTGCA